ATCCCCATCCTTAAGGAAAACACATACAAGACTGTTTATTGTAGCATTCTATAATAATAAAACACTAGAAATAATCCAAAATATCCATCCCATTAAGTGAATGGATAAACTATAACGGAGATAATGTAATATTACATAATAGCACTTGAAATAAACTAGAATGAAATAACTCAGAAAAATCTCAGATACATAATGTTGAGTGAAAAGAGAAAGTTGCCATTTATATAAAGGTTAAGAGAAGTAAACCAACCCCATATATTACCTATGAATATATACACATGTATGTAGTCAAGACACAAAAAATGTACAGCAATGACCTCTTTCCATGATCACAATGAAGTAACTGGACCTAACTTAACCTCCCACTGTAAAAAATTGCAAAACTGAACAAAATATATGAAGAAAATGTTTTCAGACATTGAATATCAAATATTGCAGGACTGTGATTCCCCAAGAAGTGAAATAAATGAGGTGATCCCTATAATTGCCTGGCTTTCTGACTAAAGGCAATTTCTAGACTGTGAGTGCAGGGAGGGGGAACTCAAACAGTCCCATGGAGTTGAGCTGAGGAAATGGAAATCAGCACTGGGGAAGGATGAAGCACCTATAAGTTGTGAGATTATTCCAAAAAGAAGGAAGCTGTACAGAAAAGAGCTTCAGAAATCTACACAAGTCCTCTTGAGACTTCACTGAGTACTAGTCTGTCACTGCGTAGAGTAAAACTCCACAAAGTTTCACAAGAATGACCAGGAAATTGTAGGTTCAAAGAGCTTACATACAATGAGGAGACCAGCTGGAGTGGAGAATCCTGTCATCACTTGAGGGCATTCTGTGGAGACCCCAGAGAGGTCAATGCCTTAGTAGTAGGGCTGAACTGGAATGAAAGCTATCTTATACCCACCCTAGAACAGCTTAAAACCTGGACTTGAAAGGATCATGAAACTGATCCACAAGAAAATTAACTCCCTGACTGAACAAAGTTCAATCCTCTTTAAAGAAAGAAACAGAATCCAGATACTCAACAAGGTAACATTCACTATATCCAATTTCCAATTAAAAAAACAATCACTAAACATGCCAAGAAGCAGGAAAATGTAACTTATAACCAAGAGAAAAATCAGTCAATAGAAAGACCTAAAAGGCTAAGATGATGAAGCTAGCAGATAAGGATATTAAAACATGAACAAATGATGAGAAATGAAGACATTAAAAACAAAAAGAACTGTAACTTGTAGAGTTAAAAAAATACAATATCTGAAATAAAAAGTTCCCTGGATTAGACACTGCAGAAGAAAAGATTCACAAACTTGAAAATTTACCACAGAATGGAAGACTGAAAGCCTACAGATCAGAGAAGCAAAATTAACTCCAAGTAAGATAATCAACACACAAACTCAATCTCACACCAAAAGGACAATGCACTCAAATTGCTGAAAACTAGTAATAAAGATAAAACCTAAAAAGCAGAGAAATAAGTTACATTATGCATAGAGGATCAAAGATAAAGAGGAGAGCAGACTTCTCTTCAAAAACTATGTATGGTAAAAACATGTCATGCTTAAAAGTGCTGATAGGAAAAACAACACAAAACAAAACAAGTGTCAACCTAGAATCATTCTCTTTCAAAATGTAAGGTGAAATAGAAATTTTTTCAGACCAAAAAATTCAAGCTCAGAATTCATCATTGGCAGACCTATATTACAAGAAATGTTAAAGCAAGTTCTTTAGGCAGTAGAAAAATGACACCAGATGGCATCACAGATCAATACAAAGGAAGGCAGAATGTTGGGAAGGGTAAATGAATGGATAAATATAAAATTCTTTTTTCCCTCATTCTTAAATTTCTTCAAAAGATAAGTATTTAAAGCACATACAGTAACAGCGTAGTGGGGTTTAGTAAAATGTATGATGACAGCAGCACAAAGGATGGGAAGAGGTAAACAGAAGTATACTGTGAAATGATATAACATTTGAAGTTAACTGTGATAAGTTAAGCACATAGTGTAAATCCTAGAGAAGGCACTACAAGAAAAAATAATTCAAATGATGTATAGTTATTAGGCCAATAGTGGAGATAAAATGCCATATTAAAAAATGTAAGAAATATCAAGGATAAAAAGGGACACTCATAAGAAAGAAGTTGATTCATCAAAAAAACCCTAAGGATCATAAATATGTATGCATCCAAAAGCAGAGTTTCAATTACGTAAAGCAAAATCTTTCAGAATTTAGAGCAGGAACAAAGGTCGCTATACTAAAATCAATTATATTTCTATAAATTTGCAACAAAAAATTATAAACTGAATTTAAAACCTAATTTACAATTGCATCAAAAATATGAAATAGATAGGGATAAAGTTAACCACATATGTGGAAAATGTGCACATTGTAAACTACAAAATACTGCTGCGAAATACTTCTCAGAGAAATTAAACAATTATCCAGAAACTGATAATTTCCACGCATGCAATATCAATCAAAATTCCCTCAGGCTTTTTTTTTTTGGGAGGAATTTACAATGTAATTCTAAAATCACACAGATATGAAAAGATCCGAGTATAGCCTATCAATTGTGAAAAAAACGAAACACAAAGTTGGAAGACTCATATTAACAAATTTGAAAGCTTACTATAAAGCTATAATAATCAAATCAATATAGCATTAGCATAAGGATAGATCTATAAATAAATGGAACATAAGAGAAAGTCCAGAGAGACAAATAAATGTTCAACTAATTTTCAACAAAGACTTAAAAGTAATTTGGTGATGAAAAAGTTTTTTCAACAAATGATACCAGAACAACTGGCTATCTATATGGAAGAAAAATAAACTTTTATCTTCACCTCAAACCACACACAAAACTTTACTTTTAAATGGATCACAGACCTAACCATAAAAAATAAAACTTAGAAATTTCTGGGGAAAAAAGAGAGAAAATCTTCATAACCTTGAGTAAGCTAAGATTTCTTAGGTCACAAAAAGCACAAAACATTAAAAAAGAAATCAATCAACTCAAAATTAAAACGTTCTCTTCCTCAAAAAACACTGAAAGTGAAAAGGCAGCTACAGACTGGGAGAAAACATTTGCAATGCATATATGTCTGACAAAGGACTTGTATCTAGAATACATAAAAGAATTCCTAAAATTCAACAAAAAAAAGCATGGGAATGATAAAGTCAGGACAGTGGTTTCTTCAGAGGAAAAATATAAGGAATCTTGATTACATCTATGTTTAACTTCTTTAAAAATTGCTGGGTAGTGGGTACACAAGCCTTTATTATAATTTTATTTATTCTTTGCTCCATGCTTAAAATATTTATAATTAAAAAAGAAAAAGTTAACCCTATACCTAAAGAGAAAGCTTAATTCATAGTACTCCATTAAATTATCATAGTCATTAAGACATTTAATAGAGGATTTTTCCCCATGTCTTATGCACCTATGTTTAATTGATATTAAGGGAGGACACACATATATATGTAAAACTGGAGAAAAGAAAAAGATTCAATCGTATTTCTAGTTTCCTACTAGCCATTCCTACTTGGATGCCTAAATGTTTCCCTTATCACTTCCACAACTTATTAAAAACTGGAGTTCACTGATTTTTCCCCACACTACGACTCAAGTTCCTCTATTTTCTTTGCTGGTTCCATCATTTTACAAGTCACAAAGATAGCATATTGCTTAGAAGCACAAGCTCTACACCCAAACTCCCTGGGTTCAAATCTTGACTACTATTCTAAAATTGCCCCACCTTGTGGAAGTTACTTAATCTCTCTGTGCCTCAGGATAAATGCTGAATATACATAAGGTGCTTAGAGTTAAACTGGGCAGATAGTCATGCTCAACAAATGTTAGTCATTCTTTTTTATCATCTTTTTATGGCTACTATCACTATTAGTACAACTACATCCTGACTCATCTTTGTCTCTATCAAGGAAAGTACTAAGTCCTGTGGACTGTTCCCTAGACAATCTGACCTCTCCCTATTTCTGGTCACCAGTAGTGGAGGTCTACACTACTACAGCCTTCTTCCTACAACCCTTCCTTTTCTTCAATTTCTCTCCATTTCAACTGTACACTACTGTCAGATTGATCTTTATCCTTTTCCATAAAATCCCCTTTCCTGTGGCAGAAGCAGTTCTATGTGGCCCTATACAAGGGAAAAAAGTATTTCACAGCAGGTTTCCAATTGATGGCTACTATATAAAGTATGGTGGTAGAAAGTCTCAAGGTTGAGTTTTAATCCTACAAATATCAAAGCAAGCTGTATTTATTACTATGAGAGAGGCAACAATATATTATAAATTGCCTTTGAGTAGCATTAGCAGTTCCCTGTTATATCAGCAATCACTCCTAACATAGTTTGAAATTTAATTTAGTATAAAAATCACCAGTCTTTTTTGAGTAATCACTTACCTCTTTGGACCCTAGTCTCTTTTGTTATAAATAAAACATTATATAAGTGCCATCAATCTGTACTCCTAGACCCCAAAAGGTAACACTTAATTGAGCACAACATTCTTTCCTGATGAGCCCAGAGTAAGCATAGTTATCCAGGAAATTAATATCAATGGAGGAACTGGCAGAGGTGAACCTATATGTCATTTTGAACTATATAATCTCTGAAAAGTTCTCCTAAAGGTTTGTGAGTCTATTCTAAAGCTATACAAATCTACGTAAAATTCTTCTAATTTAAAATTTATAATTCATTTGAGACTACTTCTAGAAATCTAGAAAGCATTCTGAAACCTTTAATAAAAATCATTTTTGTATAGCTTCAAAATAATTTGATTTAAAATTTAAAACTGTATTTTTAAACAAATTTCATTGTGATATTTCATTAAGAATTCATACTTTGGTGACAATGCATTTTGGAGCACTACTAAAATGGGCCCAGAAATTTGATATGGGCACACAAAAGTTACACAGCTACTCTATGAAAAGTAGGTCCTGGAAATTTGAATAAAATGAAACAATTTATTTTTTCAACGTTTACCTTTTTTCTTCTTTTGCTCTCAGCTGTTCTTCCTGTCTCAAAACTTGAACCATTATAGATTCAAAAACTCCACTTGTCAAGCCTGCCAAACTTCGCGGTGTTGACCGACGCCTTGTTGAAGTACATGCAGTTCCCTTCTCATCCTCCAATCCATAATAGCCTCTAGATGTAACTGCTATCGTTGTCTTTTCTCTCAAGTGCCTTGGAGAAGAATAAGTCAATTCACAAGGTCAAATCTTCTGGGCAAGCAACAAACCCCCTTAACCAGCATCTTAAGAATCCCTTTGGCTAACTACATAAAAGGTATTTAGTTAAATCTAACTTAGCTATGCTCCAGATTTTGATCCTCCCTACATAATTTCTAATTTTCCTTATTTACGCCATAAAATTAATTAGTCTGTATGGTAGTCCCTTCCCTACATTTAAAAACATATAAAACCAAAGCATTAAAATTAAGGACTAAAGCACTATCTCTTTAATGGAAAAAAAAAAGTTTATTGTTTGCAAAGTTAAATGAACTTATCTTTATATCTCTTCATACATTTCACACTACCTATCATTGGTATGGGGAAATGTACGATAATACAAAAACATTTTGGAGGAGAAAATTTATGATAAACACTTTGAAGAAATTATAAACAAATGAATATACAATATTCATATACATACAATATATAATATTAAGTTTTAAGTATTACAATATAGTTGTAAATTTGGAAACCTCTGACTAAATCATAAAAAGAATCTAGGAACCTAGATTTCCTCTTCAAGCTTGCCACAAATGTCTCCCTACTCTACAATATTTTACTAATACACTAAGCTACTAATTTAATGCTTAAAGATATTGATGAAAAAATTTCTGTTTTCTTAATTATCCATACACCCCCTTAATGAATCTGAAATGTGATTAAAACCAATTTACATTTAAAAAAAGAAACATTAATCTTATAAAGTTTTTAAGTCTCGACTAAAAACTGACGTCTGAATTTGTATCTATATAAGGGTTAACTGTAACAAGCATCAAGGAAAATATCTGCTCTTCTACCTTTGTAAAATATGCCAGTCTCTGAAGGTTTTGTACATGTTGTTTCTATAATGGCAAAATCAAGTCATAAGCATTCAATATGCTGGATAAGCATCTACATAAATTAAAAGTTGACCCCGTAATCATATTTTCCTGCTTTCCTATAGGCTTTAATATAAATAGGATAAAGGTTCATCAAAACATAAACCTTTATGGCATGAAATACAATCAAACTCCTGTCCATCTTGGACTATATTCACAGTGGTTTATTACTCTAAGTTAGATAACTTTACAATAATCTTACTCTTGGGCCATCTAGGTCCCATGAATGGTATGACTGCAAGGTTCTACTGAACTGTGGCACTATTATGTGTTTCTTTGTTATAAGGTGATAATATTTTAACTGATTCAGCTTTAGAAAGGGCATGAACTTTTAAACTGGTTTACCAGTAATCCCAAAGAATTTGGGCTAATCTATCCATTCTGTTTCAGGTTGTGATTCTTTTATGCTAGTAGCATAGATCCGTATGATAGCTAATTGGGCTGGGAGTAAGGGATGTGGGCCCAAAGAAAATAAGCTGACTGACAATAAAAGGTACTGAATGGGTACACTTGGGTTCACTTTAGGATAGTGTTTTTACTGGTGAACTAACTGGTTCTGTAATTTTAATTACTTCTTCATCAATACTAATGGAAGAGAACATAAACAATATGACACTGAAACATGATGACATTTCAGAGGTCACAGTATATGCAGGGCATTGGGGTTAAGGAAAGTTGAGGGAAACAGTAAGTCACGTGGCTAAATTATGTAAACTAATTAGTTTATAGAAACTAAACTTTACTCCTTAAGTCTTATAAGTAGAGGAAATGAAGTTATAAACAATTTTTTCAAACAGTATTTTCTCAGAATAAAGACCAAAGAGAAATTAATATCCTCTATTATTTATCAGAAATAAAAATCTATAAGCTATCATTCATAATTAAAATACGAAAAAGAAAACTATGATGTTTCCCTTCTATCGACACACAAAGATTAAAAAGGCTAATATTACTCAGTGTCAGACAGGGTCCAAGCAAAGAAAAATTATCATATGACATTAGTGGGTGTGTAAAAATGGGCACAGCCTTTTTGGAAGCCAATTTGGTAATAATCATTAAGATTTAACATGCACATAGCCTCTGACACATCACGCTTCTAGGAATTTATCCTATAAACATATTTCCACAACTGTGAGCTAAAACACACACACAGCATTATCTGTTATTTAAAAAGAACAACCTGGGAGCATAAATGTCCATCAATACAAGACAGATTAAACAAAGTAATGCACCACAAAATGGAATACCAATCATCCATTTAAAAGGAATTAGGTAAATCAGTATGTACTAACTGTAAAAGATGTCCACATTATACTGCTAAATGTAAAAAGAAGTTTCTGAACAAAATATATTTTTTAACCCAAAAGGAAATATATATATATGTATATGTGAACATACATATGGCACCAAGTAGTGTGTGTGTTTGTGTACACGTACAAGTTCAAACTCTCACCTAGCCTATTACAATCTCTTCACGACAGGTCTCTTGGCTTCTACTCTAATCTCCCTACAGGCAGTTCTTCATGCAGCAACCCAGGTAATCCTTTTAAAAGATAATCAGATCATGTCATTCCCCTGCTCTGTCTCCTCTAAAACCTTCCAGTTAAACTTAAAATACAATCCAAAGTTCTGATGGCCTATGGAACCTAGTGTGATATGGCCCTCATCTACCTCTCCAGACTTCATTTTCTAACACTCTGCCCTTAGCTCTTTGTGGTCTGGCCACACAAAAGTCTCCTTATTACTCGCAGTCACACCAGCATCTGCTTTGCACTTGATCCTCCTTCTGTAAGGCACTCTTCCCCCAGGCACTATCATTTCATTCAAACCTCTGTTCAAATGCCAACATATCTGAGAGGATTTCCCTGATCCCATAACTAATAAAGGATCCCCTGCCACTCTATTCCCTTACCCTGGTTTCTTTTTCTTCATGTTACTTACCACTACATTGCATTATATAATTATCTATTTATTTGGTAATTAACCATCTCCCCACCAGAATGAAAGCTCCAGGAGGATAAGAACTATGTTTTGTTAATGGCTGTATCTTCAGAACCTCAAATACCTGATATTTGGAAAGACAAAAACCAAGCTATTTTTCATTTTAAATTCACACACATAATTCAAGTTGAAAAATGCCAGTCATCCATTACGGTCCACAGTAAAAGAATCTAGATTAAACATTTGTTACTAACTACCTGAGTTTCATTTATCAGAGAAAAAAATGCAATAAAATAAAAATAAAATAAGCCTCACCTCCAAATAAGAATTGTAGATAATTAATCAATGATCAAATAATGATTGAAATAACTCTCCCTTTCTAAAATTCAAGCTTTTTTCCTATGAAGAAAATTATTTCATGAAATCAATGACAGTTTGAAAATAACAGATTGGTAACTATAAGCAAAAGCTAAGCAGTAATTATGGTTGACTCATAATAGTTTTTTCATTTTTCTTTCACAAAGCATGAAAGGGTCTTTTCTGTGTTGTTAATACATTCCAAATCAGAATTCAGAGGCTCAATTCTGTTTAAAATTATTAAAATAAGTATCAAGAAGGAAGTAAATTGATACTAAGCTTTACTTATGGTTAATATATAGACTAACACTGGCCCCCTACTAAAAACAGATATTTAGGAAGGTTTCCATTATTAGGTGATTTTGTTTTGTGTTATCAAAACAATGTAAATGTGTCACCAATAAAACTTGGATCTGCACAATTAAAATCTGGAAACAGAATTATCCAATGTGCTTAAAAATATTCTAAATGAAGAGGTTCAGTCACTTTTTTAACCCATTTACTTAAAAAAACATTAAAATGTAACTACAGTCCTCAGAGTCCTGGCAAGAAAAAGATAATACTAAAAAGGAGATATGTTTAATAAAGAGACTGTTTACAAATGTGCAGGCAAGGTTAAGGGAAACTAGGACAGGATGGTGAAGCCCTCCTGGGCTAGGCAGGGAGCTATTATTCTAGGACCAACAGGGGAAGAAGAGGAAATAGAGGAATCAAGAGAGGTGTAACTGTAGAAAAGCCCAGACAATGATGGAGCATAGTTACTGACAAGCTGCAGCCAGCAAGGAGGAAGTTGTTAGAATAAATATTCCTACTTCTCCATCCTCCTGTCAGTGCCTCCCACTGAGACTGAACCCAGTCAGACACCAGGGACAAGGCAGACCAGCGGATGTAGTCCTTAGAATTCAGCCTCGTGGGGCACAGGGCACAAGGGCTGAAAATGGATTAGGAGGGACAAATGAAGATTATCCAGCACAGCAGAACCTTAGTATTAGTTTTCAAGAGCAACTAATTGAAATTAGGAAAGACGGAACTTTTACTGGTGGATTTCAACAAAAACTTCTGCATGTTTGATAGATAACCATCGTGATGTAGTCCGCCCAGCTTGCAATGCCATTCTTCTCTCTGGATTTATATATTTTTATGAGCTCTGAACTATAACAGTCATTAAAACCAAGTACTAAAATAAACCTAACTTAAAACAAGCCTGTCAAATAGCTCTAACAGCCAAGTATTAAACCAAGATTTTCAAAACTAGTGAAGTATCACAATGTCCTCACCAAAAATAACTTTTTGTAACATTAATAATGTTTAAAAATTATTTTTAAAATATGCTTAATCTCTCAAGTTTGTTTCACAATATATAAAACATAACAGTACAGAAGTATCCATATATGATTTATAAATAAATATGCATACACTGCGGGTACACATTCAAAATTTTTTCTGCTTGGGAAGCCAGATCATAAAAGTTTGGAGACCACTGCTTTTAATCTGCAGCTATATATTCGATACCCAAAAAAGTTTTCAGAAAAAAAGAAGTCTTCATACCTATAAAAAAAGGCATTTATCACAGGTTAAATTTATCTACTTGATCTTCTTTACCTTCTATTCTCCCAGTTTTTACTCTTATTCTCCCTGCATTTTTAACTCATCTGCATCCAGACCTCCAGCATCTTATTTGATTCCTTCATTTACTCTAACATAATTCAGCTTCTTTCAGCTATTCATATAGATAACTAGTTGGGACCCATCATACATGACTAACCTCTTCTCTTAT